CGCCCCGCTGCCAGCTGCCCCTCGGACGGGGATCGGCTCAGCCCGCCCTCCCCCGGCCCCGCTTGCAGCCCCCCAACCCTACCCCTGATGACGTTGCTGTAGATGGTGGCGCGGAATTCCTCCCGGGCTGGCCGGTCCCAGTCCTGCCCGTGAATGATGCGCATCTGCTTGAGGAACGTACTCTTGCCGCTTTCCCCCGCGCCCAGCAGAAGGATCTTGACGAGCCGCTTGACGTAGGTTTTCTCGCGGTACAGGCACTTATCGATCTCTTTAGACTTCCGCTGCTGCTCGGCCTCGCTGCTGTTCAGCATACAGCCGGGGAAGCAGCCCGACAGCGGGGACCGCGACGGCAGGAAATCCGCCATCTTAGCGAGTACTGCCAGCCAGGGAGCGGCCGTAGCGGCCCTGCACCGCTCTGCGCCTGCGTAGAACCTGGGTCGCTCGCTCAATCCCCGCCCCTCTGAGTGCCCCTATGACAGGAGACGCCGCTCGGAGAGCGTCACGTCAAGAATGCCCAATCAACAGTCACTCTGTTTTCACGTGGTACCTGCGTCTTGTCTTCTGAGTTAGATGGCCCCGCCCCTGTTCTAGCACGTGATCATGTCATCTGGTCCGTATATTCGGAATTTCCCCTTTTTCCGTACTTTGTCACGTGACGGATTTCGGGGGTTTATGCAAAATGGCATGAACTCGTTGTTGGGGTGCGTCAGGTATTTGGGTCTATCGACCTGTTGCCTCTTTATGAGCTTCAGCTGTTCTCGCGTTTATGTTTGCCCTATTAGGATGCATACCCAGTTTATTACACATTAGCTAACCGTGTGCAAGATGTACGTTTCTCCCCACTTCAGTATAATATAATATTCCAACCCATTTGAACAACCATCGTCCATATCAGGCGCAACAGTATGAGCCCACAGGCATCAAGTGATGGCCTGATAGGTTGGGGGTTCTGCAGTCTTTGTGCCATAGTTAAGAAAGTATTCACTCATAAACTTAATATCTTCCCATTCGTGCTATTCACGTTCTTCTGGACTGTTCTGTCAACAATAGTCCTAAAATCTGCCTTCCATTTTGCAGAGTGAAGTACAGTTGCTTCACATGGTGGGTGCCGTGGGGAAGGGGTAAGGCCTGAACTGTGACTGCTGGCTCCCTTGGAACTGTACTTAGCTCAGTTGCCTGCCCAGCCACCCACAATGTGTCTGTCTCAGAAACTCCTCAAATGGGTGTCTGCAGATAGTAATCAAAAAAGTAAAGATGGCAGCCAAGACGATGTGATCGAAGCTCCGCAATTCCGTGTAAAAAACAGAGCTTCAATTGCACCATTGGGGCTGCCACCTGAATATTTTTTATCATACACTGTGGACACCCTTGCTAAAGCCTTTGTAGCTTATGGGTGGGAGGAGTAGCACTCAGCAGTACAGTACACAGATGGGAAAACAAGCAAGCCAAGCTTAGGGCAGGTGGGCAGGCCAAGTTAAATAGGGTATGGCAGTGTGGACAACAGATTGGAAGGGAAGCAATGCATCCTTTTGGGCTGCCCTTAAAATTTTGAAGAAAGCTGAGTGTTACCCATATGGTATACAAATCATTCTGGCTGTGTTCATGCATGCTTGATTAGAAACTTAGATTAGTAAGTGCACATATGGCCCCATTTACCCTTTAATCTGAATGCTCATATAGATCATCAATAAGACCAGCCTAAACCCTTCCGGATATTTTGGGCTTCAGCTCCCAGGATTCTAATCCTAGTTGAGGGTATTTCCTGGCACATAATGTGTAATATACCTTCAGGATGTTTTCAAGTAGCAGCCAGAAGTTTCAAACACTTACATGAACTTTTAGAAGGGAAAAACATTTATATAAATTGTATACATCACAATTTATGTACAAGCTAATTATTTGTCTATGCAATTTTATACAGAGAAAGTCTTCTTTCTTGAAACCAGTTCCTAAACAATAGGCTGTGTGTAACAGTAGGAAATAGGTTCTTAAGAAACAGGAGATAGAACTGTACAAGTGTGGGAATGGAACTCCTGAATGAATGCTTGAAACCTGATTAGTTTGACTGCAAATGCTTACAGAGGCAATTAAGAGCAAAAAAAAAAAAGTTGACAGGTTCCCTTTCTTCCACTGCATCTGCTCTCTCAGTTAGCCCATTCCAAAGTAACTTCTTTTTTAAAAAATCCAAATGGTCTAATGATACTGTACATTATGCATATACTATGTTCATATGCTATGTTATGCCCAAATAAATAATCTAGACTATAGATTAATATGATGGCCTGATTCATATAACATTCCAAGACAATGGCTGAATTCCCTAAAATATACCAAACTACAAAGTATCCAGCATGATTTTACTGTTGTCTAACCTGTTTTGTGAATTCAGATTGGTAGCTTTGTTCCCAATTTTGGGAGAGGGGACATAGAATAGGAAAAGTCAGAAGAAAATTATACATAGGAAGTGATAATTATCTATAAACAGTAGCACCAAACCTGACATAAGAATCAGTGGTATCCAGGAACAAATGAGGAAAAATGACAGCTCCCCACAGTATTCTGTCACTGACTTCAATGTCAGTTCATGAACAAAGACATTACAAACATCAATTTCATCATGAAGCTAGAATTTAGAAGATTTGACACGTATGGATTAAGCATAACTAAGTATGCTAATAAGCTTGTTTATGCAAGAATATGTAATACTCATAAACTACTTTTTAAGTAATTGAGTTCCAAGTTGTTTCTCCAGTCTGAGTGTGGTGTTCTGTACAGCTTCATTTGATAAATACAAAGGTAATTACCTGGATAGCTGGACTGCTTCTCCCTATGGAATAAAAAATAATGCATACACCAATCATCGTCGTCGTCATCATCATCATCGTCGTCTCTGTGAGCCCTTGGGAATACAATGGAACAGAAACGTTCATAAATAAAAAATCTCTCTCTCTCTCTCTCTCTCTCTCTCTGTATGTGTCTGTATTGCTATCTAAACATATTTTTCTTTGCTGGATATACATATGCTAGGCACAGTGGCTGTTCAGTGGTTTTAGCTTTGTGTTCCATATAACCAGTCGCAATGGTTTATTCAGTAAGCCATAAGTTAAAGAAGCCATGAGTGTTTAGGGGGTGGGTGGGTTATAACAATGCCTGAAAGAATAATCTCACCTATTTCAGCATTTCCAGTTATATATGTTTGTTTCCATATCTGGTAAACTAGTGTAGTAGGTTGAAGTATTGGACTGGCTGATTTGGGCCTATTGCTCTCTTAGAGCCCAACCTAACAAAGCCATTGTGGGGATAAAATTGGAGGAGACCCATATGTCAATCGCCTTGAGCTTTCTAAAGAAAGATAGGAAATACATGCAATAAATAACAAATGGTTAGTTTGTTTTGGTCTCGTAGTCTGTATCAGTTCCACAACTCTGAGTAAATCGAACCATAAGTAAAACAAATTGTAACTTGTCACATCATATTTAAATCTTTCAGATTTATAAAAAAGTTTGGTCTCTGAACCTATTCAATCAGGCTGTAAGAAGAATGTTCTTTTCTAATTTTGTCTTATCGGTAATGTGCAATTTGCCAACGCGATGCAAATTTTCTTTGCTAGCAGCTCAGCCCTGTAAATAGATGAAAGAGCTCCCCCTGATGCTGACAGGTAGGAAGCACGCGCTGCTCATGCAAATAAAACCAGAGTGCTCCGCACTGATTGGCTAGAGCGAGACTGTGCCTGCTTCCACCGCCGCCTTTATCCTGCAGCCTGGCGAGTTTGAGTAATGCAGTTCGCCTGAAATCACTTAAGAGTAGCACCACCTTTTTTTCTGCAATTGGTGAAAGCCCCTTTATTATTATTATTATTTTTAATTCTTTTGTAGCTTCTGCCTTAATTAAGTAGATCACGATGACCATCACGCACATAGATCAAGGACAGCGTTACAGGCCAAGAATGGCATTCTTGAAAAAGGTAACAAAGCCAGTCTTATTTTCAATTTTTATTTATTTTTTAGTACCTATCTTATAAATGGAAGGTCAGGAAACCTTGGGCACATCTTCAGAACATCTGATTGGAATGCTGTATCACCAAGGTTGGCTTGTGAGAGAGAAGGGGATATTGTATCTGACTAGGTGTGTGCTCCGTTACAGTCTTAAAAAATCCTGTCATTAGTTTAGTCTCTAATAGTGATTGTTTCCCTCTGTTTTCTTTTCCTTGCCTGGTCCTTTGCTGTAGGGTGCTTAGAGATAAATGTCTTGGTATTCTTTGGAATTTCAAAAGGAAAGCAACCTGTTACAGAGCCACCTTTGTAGATATGCCAGAAGCTGCTTAAAATAACACTGACAGGTATGGGTGCCTAGAAGCTTTTTAAAGGCTGCGTTATTCTTGTTAATTTTAACCACTGCTATTTTGCTTCATCCACGCTACCTTTATTTCTGTTCAGAACTTCTGAAAGTTCTCTGTTTTCTGTGTTTGAAAACAGTTTTATTCCTCACCCTCCTTCAGCTGTAAGTAATTTAAAAAATAAAAGCCATAATTCTTGAAGTTTACAGCATTAATTCTTCCTGAAATCATCACCTGGTAATTACCCCCACCAATCTCAGTCTACCGTAGTTCACTACTGTAGGTTAACCTAGCCCCCTTGGCAAGACATTTCTGTGCTGTGATGAAGCCAAAATATCTGCCTTCCCTTCCCTTCTCATGTGAAACTCCTGAAGGAGCTTCTTCCCCTATACCAGTCTACTCATGCTCACCGTCCCATTTTTAGATCAAATACAACAGGTAGTGACATGAGGTAGGGACTTCTCTGTAGCAGCACTCCTACTGTGGAATGTCAAGAAGAAGGACATCATGTTGAACCCAGCCAAGGTTTACCTGGCTTTCATTTCTGGTTAGTGGCCAGTGAGGTCAAGTAGGGTTGTTTTTCCCTACCCATGGTTTGTTTGTTCGTTTGTTTGATGGAATGTTATTTTGTGCTTCTGTCTACATTTTATTTTTGTCACTTTGTTCTTGATATCCAGCTTGGAGATTTTCCTTTTTGAAAGAAGAGTTAATTATGGTATGGGATGACAAATCAGTGATGCCCTTTTTAAAAAAAAGTATGGAGTAAACTTGGTTAGGTTTCTCAGTAGGACCCCCTGTTGATATCTCTGCACTGGTTATGAAACCATGTTTATAGGGGTATTGTTGGTCTATAAGGCTAAGGAGACCAGGACCAATTTATTTAAGGAACTCCTTTCTTCATATAACCTTTCATGTTTTGCAGAGGATTCATTGCTTATTATACCACAGTATGCATTTATTTGCCCTTGGTGCAAAAAAGGACATTTTTACCATGATATCTAATATGCACAATTCTCTCTTTTTTGAGACTTGGCTGGCTGCTGGTGTGGAGTGTTTCTGCCATTGGTATAAGACTTGTTGATTGCTAAGCATTCTTTTGACTAGCAGTTTTGCCAGTAAGCCTAATATGTATAATAGATATAGTAGTAGTAGTAGTAGTAGTAGTATGATGATGTTGTAAACTACTTTGGTATTTTTTTATGGAAATGAAAAGTGGTATATAAATTGAAAAGGAAATAATTGATAGAGATCTATTCCTTGCCTATTCATAGCTGCTTTGATGAAGTGGCAGACTACTCCTTTTTATTGGCCGCAGTTATGTTCAACCTTTAAGGGAGATGGACTACAAACTTCATCACCTTCCAACCAACATGTTGATAAATAACTAAGCTATGGATTTACTATGATCTCCTTTTCCCAAAGCATCTACAGAAAATAATAGTGGTAGTATGTAGTAAAATTTTAAGCGGGCAAGGCATGAAGCTCAATTTTCTCCTATGCATATCTCCCCTTTTCTGAGGTTTATTGTGATGAATAGTATAATTTGAATTTACAGAGACACACACAGCTGCCCATTTCTAGGGTACCAGATCTGGGCTACAAAAGTCCAGTCAACCACCAGTGGGCAACAAAGAATTAGTTACCTTGTAGCTCCTCATTGCCCTCTAGTGATTCTCTGGATTGTTGTTGATAATCCTACTACTTCAGGTGTATGTGCTGTATAGTCTAGTACATTCACATCGCAACAGTTTTCGCTGAGCAGCAGTTAAGAGAAATTGGCAAAAATACAGGTTAAAAAAAAGCAGGGAGAGGGAATGTAAATTTTTTCTGTGTCACAATATTTGTTGCACATTGCAAATATATGTATTTGACATGCTCAAAATGAGATACCACAATGTGTTTCCCTCTTCCTAGATGTTGTCATAATTGTGATGGTATGTGGCAATGACCTTGGGAGAGAGGAGGAAAACCCACAAAGTAGGCAACCGTCTGTTAAAAGGCAGCTCAATCCGCAGGTGGGGGGAAAGCGTGGGAGCATTTCAGAAGGGACTCTTCCTAGTTTTCCAGAGACTAAAAAGAGAGGAGGGGAGAAATACTTTCAGTCTTGCAAGTTTGTTTAATATAACCTTACAATAAAGTAGGATTAGTTCATCCGGGTGTGCTTCTTGTCTGGACTACCTCACAAGGCTGACATAATTACTTTAAAGGTCCAATTTCACCATGTTCTTACTTGATTTCTGCTCGGGTAGTTTGGAGGGAAGAAAATATCATTTTGTGAACTACAGGCCACATTTTATAGAAAGATACATTTTGAGAGAAGAAAATAATAAACCTTTGCCACAGATAAAATAAATTTTCTTTATGTGATTTCCTTGTACAAAAATACAATAGACATGATATTAAATACATTTCAAATGTCCAGGGATGGCGAAGGTGAGTGCTGGTAATAGAGATCATATACTCCTACTCTTGTAATTAAAGACTTGTTTGGCTTTACTGTTACATGCTCTTACAATATTGGTAAAACAGAATAAGATTCACTGTGTTTATTTTTTTGAAAATATAAGCCAACTGCAAAAAAATGTTCTAGATTTCCTTTTTAGCTTACCTAGGGCTGAACTAAAGGCAGGAATTTTAGGTAGCTAGGCTTAAGAACTCTCCAGATGACAGATTAAGGGATGACTGGAGGCCAACTGACTGAGAGCAGCCTATCATATTTATCTAAGTCATATATTAGGTTTATAAATCATGGTGCTTGGTTTCATAATAAGCCAAAACCAAACAAGCCACAATATAGCCTTGTGCAATGCCAGATGCACTTATCTGCAGGTCACTTATCTAAAGAGAAGACAAGAGATGTGGCCATAATTTGATGGCCTTATATAATTACAGCTTTAGGAAAAAAGGTCATCAATATTTCCAGGTTATCCTCACTCTTTAATAAAGCCTCTGAAATCAAACTCTTGCTGATTTAATATCAGATTGGTAGCAAATAAGACAGTTACCCACTATCATTTTATCTTGGAAGACAAATATCTTGATTGGATTATATTATGGTGCTTTGGATGGAGATTTTCAGAAGTTGTGCAGAACAGTTATAATACCCATGATATGATCCTTACTGCTCAGCCCCACCTCCTTCTAGCACTGAAGATGTTACCTAGCTGGGTAATGAAATGTCTGCAAGAAAACAACCAAGCTCAGAGAACCTCCTTCTAGCACTGAAGATGTTACCTAGCTGGGTAATGAAATGTCTGCAAGAAAACAACCAAGCTCAGAGAACCTCCTTCTAGCACTGAAGATGTTACCTAGCTGGGTAATGAAATGTCTGCAAGAAAACAACCAAGCTCAGAGAACACCAAGGACTCCACATCCTTCTAATTCTATTGGACTTCTGAGTGAAGCGCTGTTGCAAAGGTTCCATTTCTATAGAAAAGCTATTTTAGAAGCTGGTTTCAGATCAGGGCAATTACTGCTTTATCACTTGACTGATGTGATTTTTGTGTAATTTTGTATAATGAGATGAGAGCTAGTAGACAAACTACCTCTCTGCTGGGTTCAGTTAAGTAATATGGTGTGCATGCTTCAAAAAAATTTTGGAATAAGTGTTTTGGACCTCATGGAAGCATAACCCTTTTCTGCCATTCATTAAAGCAGCCATGTCTCTTTTTCAGGCTTATGTGGAATTCTGAAAACAGATGCATGAATAGCAGAGAGGTGCTATGCTTGCATGAACTCCAAAGCATTTTTTCCTAATCATTTTGAAGTGTACACAGCCCTATTAAGTCATGCTCTTTTCAGAGAGTCTTTGCTTAGTATCTAGCATGGTCTTTTTATTTTATTTTTTTAAAAAACATGATTTCATACTGTTTTAAAGCCCTTACTGCTAATTTGAAATTGTTTTATTTTTATATGCATTTTGTATTTTTCAACTGTATATAATTTTGTGTATGTGATATTAAATGATGGTGTAAAATGATATGTAGTAAATAAACGATTCTGCTAAAGAGTTTCAAAAGATCTATGTGAGATTTATCCATTTTCCTTGAAACCAATTATGTAGCTAGGATAGTCTAGCTAATTTATATAACTAGAAGTTTTCTGTGGTATCCAGGTGTGCTCTTTTTTCTTCATTGTCCTTTTTTTTTTAAAAAAAAATGCTGGCTCTTGATTGGAATCTGAATCACATTCTAAAATAAATGTGGAAGAGTCAGGACAATAGGAGAAAAAGGCAGGATGATTAGAATAGATAGCGTAGGACTCATATTTTACTTAACCAACCTTGTCCTAGAGCTCTTTTGAAAGCTGATAGTGGAGGGTCAGAACTTGGTACCTGGTAGTATCCTACCCCACTCCACACTTTTAAGAAAGAACCACCCAATTCCCACAAGATCTTATAGAAATTAGATCTTGATTGATTTTATGAGATGTAGATAATCTCATAAGATTTTTGTGTAAAATCTGACCAATTTTTTTGTGAAGTGGCAATGCCTGTTTCCTAACTATGAAATTGTGATGGTATCAGAGGCTTGTAAAGGTTGCCAACCATGAGGAATATATTATGTTACTGAGCTATAGTTCCTTATTTTTCATACTTGTTATAATGCCTTCACTGTTGGTTACATTTGCTGGGTCTCCTGGAAGTTGTAGTGTAGTGTATCTGGATTCCATACTTCTGAAATAACACAGCAAATAAACTATTATTTTCTATACTTACTGTGGTTTTCTAATGCCTTCTAATGGATCAGATTAGCAGAGGAGACGCATTGCCTTGGCAATTCTGGACTAAGTTCTCTGGAATTTCTTAACCAAACAGGAGAGGCCTATCTTCAGTCATTTAGAGAAGCGTTTTTATAAAAACATTTTTTCAGAGCCTCTGTGCAATCTTCTTAATCTCTTTCACCTATAGTTATCCTTTATTCAGCAAAATCACACCATATTTTGCATTTTAAAATTATTGCTTTGCTTGTGCTTTGCCATTGGCAGCATATAAAATTTTTAAACAATGTTTCCAATTATGAAATAAATAAAATTCCTGGGAGGCAATCAGAAATTTGCCAGAAACAAAACATAGCCTATTTCCACAGCAGTATAGAGTCAGATGATAAATATTTTTGGAGAAGTCTAATTTCTTTCTCAGGAAATGTTGCAAAAAACATTTTATAAGCTTTGAGCACTAGAATATCTACTTACCACTTGGATAACACCAAACTGGTAAACTACAAGAAACCTAACATCAATAATATGGAAGAAAAGATAGTTTCCAACTTAGAAGGCTTCCATAATAATAATAAAAAAAAACCTATTTAAATTCACTTGAATAGGGTTACACTAGGATTTTTAGACTGAAAAATTATTCTTTTGTGTCTTTCTGTTACAAGGAAGGAAAACTTGTGATCCCAAATGTTGCTGAATTACAACTCCTAGTTTCCATACCACTGACCATAATGGCATAGCTAGAGGTTATAGTTCAGCAGCTTCTAAAAGATGACAGGTTCCCTTCCCCTAGTGTACACTATCCATTTTAAAATAAATGTAATTATACAATTTAATAATTGGAAGTAGATTTAATAAAATTTAATACTTTGAAGAAGATCTGCTTCAGAATTAGAAGTGGATTCTTTATCATTCAGCCAAAGCTTTTAAATGGCTTCCAGAGGCCTCCAGTTAACTTGTGCAGATATGGAAGCTTTACATCTCCATGTATGTATGGTAAGCAACCACTACTGGCATTACGTAATTAACACCTGATTCCTTGTTTGTTTGTTTTTTAACTATTAAATTGGACAGGTAGCATAGTGTGGTGATTAAAGATCTGGTCTAGGTCTAGGAGCAGGGAGAGTTAGGTTTTAATCCCCCATTAGGCATGGAAGCCAACAGGAAGACCTGCCTGGAAGGACATGAGTCAATCCTACGTTACACAGAGGACCACCTCTTGAGAGACTATGGATAAAACAAGCACAGAGAAGGACTGATATTTTTCTGCTCTGTGTAGCACTGAACTTGGGTTCTTATAGTGCTTAGTCATGCCTGTTTATGGTTTTACGCCAAGATCGTTCTAAGTATGTTGAGTCACTTTGTTTCCTTCAGCTCCTCAGTAGACCAAGGAGCAGGCTGGGATTGGCAAATGGAGAGAGGCTACTCTGGGGCAATTGTATCAAGTTCTCAGGCCATCTCCACATTCTACAGTCTGCCATATTGTTGGGGAAAACCCCAGGTGCCCTCTGGAAACCATCCAGATCTATTAGGCATCTGGGACAAACCAAAATAATGCCACACCCACACAGGTTCAGAGCAGCCATGATCCACATATTGATGAGGAAGTGATCTGACCACAGCAAAGGATACATATCTGTGTCCATCATCAGATCGTGCCTATCTGCTCTGAAGTAAAGAGCAGGTCTAGCATATGCCCAGTCAGTGTATAAGGACTGCAATTACCCATGGCAAGCCCCTGGTCACCATGGAGGGCATGAATTCACAAGCTACACTGGAGCCTTCCTCTAGGCATGGGAGTTGAAATCCCCCAGGATCAACAGTCTTAGGAACTCTACCACCAGCCCAAGATAAGGTCTAGGAGCTTATGGAAGGTAGTAGGTGGTACACACCAGCAGGCCAAACTTGTCAGTGCAGGTCACTTCCACACAAAGGCACTCATGCCCAGTCATTTCTGGAGCAGTGCTTCTTGCCTTGACAACCACAACCACCCCATCCTTGGCATCGTGGCTGCTGCAGGACCTGCAGGTTTCTTATAGGACTACAGGTAGTTCTCGACTTACGATGGCAATTGGGACCAGAATTTCCACCGCTAAGCGATGCGGTTGTAAAGTGCGACCACATTGCTTAGCAATAGCAATCCCTGTAGTCCCAGTTGCCGTTGTTAACCGAATCCCACGGTTGTTTGGCAAGGCAACTTCCTGCCAGCTTCCCACAACCAAAGTCAGTGGGGAAGCTGGCAGGAAGCTGCAAACCGCAGGCTGGCAGGCAGGTAAGTGGCTGCTGCCGGGTGGGGGGATGCATGGGAGTGTGGAGGAGGGTGCATGAAGGCGCATGAGAGGCATGGTGCGGGTCAGGGATGGTGTGGGAGTGGCTGTCGCAGTGCGAGTGCAGAGGGCTGGGTGAGGGTACGCGGGTTTGAGAGGCCTGTCCCAGCGACTTGCAATCTTCCCTATTGGCTTCCCCATTGACTTTCCTGGGAAGCCGGCAGGGAAGGTTGCAGATAGCAATAACGTGTTCACAGGGCACTGCAATTGGTCGTAAGTCCAAACCAGTTGCTAAGCACCAGATCATGATCACATGACTGCAAGGGTGCTGGGATGGCCAGAACTCCAAGGACCAGTCATAACCACCATTTGTTCAGCGCCGTTGTAATTTTGAATGGTTGCTGAACAAATGGTTGTAGGTCAAGGACTACCTGTACATCCCCATCACTGCCCAGCCAGATGACAGCAAAGCACAGCAGGTTAATGTGTTCATCCATCACAGTGTTGTGGTTGGAGATGGTCTTATTGTGTACCAATCTGCCATTAATTAGCCACAGTTAGAACCAATGTCTCCAGTAATATAACACTTGAAAACATAGTGGTTAAATTATTCATTTTTTTCTTATAGGTGCGTTTAAGACAAGGAATGAAAATAAACTATAGCTGTTTCTATTTGTTTTGCATAATTCTTAATATGTCTCTACTATAATTTGCAGTTGGAGATTTTGTTGGTAGAGATGCAAGACCCACATTCTGGCATCAAAATACAAACCCAGAAGATCATAAACACCAGCATTCCACATGCTATGACTGGTAAGTCAGATGTACCGGACAATAGAAGGCAGTCTCAACCATTAGGTTTTTGTTATATGGTATAACTGAATATTCATCAGTCACTTTATTCCTGCCTTTGATGTTGGAAAACAGCCACAACAGCAGTCTAAGAAGATGACAACAGAGACAACCATCCTGACACTATGGAGAAAAAGAATAATAAAGATTGTTTTTCCCCAAAGTATGTAAAGTTGCTGTATTAAATTGTGCATACACATATGTGTAAGTGTAAATACTCAGTCTGTATTCTAAAAATTAAGGGGAGAGACAGGGAGCAGTACTGATGTTTTGAGCCTGTCTCTATTTATTTATTAACTTTGCTTGAATCCTGCCAAATCTGCCAAGGACCCCAGCAGTTTGCAATTAACAGATAACAATCATCATCATTATTATCCATGATACAAACACAGTTAAATTATCCAAGGTAGGTAAAAGACTTTTTTTTATAAGAACTTTATTAAGTTATAAAAAGCATACAGGTGAAAGCAAACAAGAACCAATAATCAAGAAGAAAAGTAGAGAAC